GAAACATCTTTACCAGGTCTTTGGGGGGATCGTCTATTTGTAATCAATGGCAGATAATGGTCGAGGGTGTTTTTTTTTTTCTTGGCTGTGTTTTGGAGGTCAGGGAAGGTTGGGGAGTAAAGGGCTATTTTGGTTGAGTTGTATTTCTGGTCTGAGCGTCATCAACTGTCCAGAGCTGCCTGGGTATAATTGAGGTGAGGGTCATTGTGTGGCTTGAGGCTGACCTAGCCTAAGCTAACCAAGACTTAGCATAATTTAACAAGAATTAATCTTTGCTAAATCAGCTAGTCTAAGCATCTGTATCATAGACAAGCCAAACTTAAGAAAATTTGATGCAATCTATGCAATCTGAACAAAATAAGCCTAATCTACACTTAACTTGCCTAACCTAAACGTGGGTTAGTTACTAACCATACCAAACATACCCAACTTTACAAAAAGCACAAGTTAACTCTATATAATATAACCTCACCTCACATACCCCACTCTAACAAAAACCAATCTAACCGAACCGAATATAACCTAACCTAACCTAACCTAACCTAACCTAACCTAACCTAACCTAACCTAGCCTAGCCTAACCTAACCTAACCTATTCTAACCTAACCTAACCAAACCTAACCTAACCTAACCTAACCTAACCTAACCTAACCTAACCTAACCTAACCTAACCTAACCTAGCCTAGCCTAGCCTAGCCTAGCCTAACCTAACCTAACCTAACCTAACCTATTCTAACCTAACCTAACCTAACCTAACCTAACCCCAAAGAAAACACAGATAACGGTTTCGTTTTATTTTCCCCTCCCTCTACAAATCAAGGGAGAGTTGACTCACGGATCTTTCTGCAGGGGCGGGCACTTTGGTGTGGGGGGGGGGGGGGGGGCGTGATTCAACCCCAGGTGTTTATATCTCAGTAATGACATCAGCACAAGACAGATATCCTACATGGGTGATTTCCTCTGCTGCTCCATGGTGAGATATGTTACAATGAGTTACATACAATAATATATATTTATTACAAAGTGTTACATACACTAATATATATTTATTACAATTTGTTACATAAACTAATATAAAATACAATGTGTTACATACACTAAGATATGTTACAATGTGTTTTATACACTAAGATATTTTACAATTTGTTAAATTCCCTAAGATATGTTACAATGTGTTACATAAACTAATATAAAATACAATGTGTTACATACACTAAGATATTTTACAATTTGTTAAATACACTAAGATATTTTACACTTTTTTACATAAACTAAGATATATTACAATTTGTTAAATTCACTAGATATTTTACAATTTGTTACATACAGTTAGATATTTTAAATTGTGTTACATAAACTAAGATATTTTACAATGTGTTACATACACTAAGATATTTTAAAATTTGTTACCAGAGGCGTAGCGACCCTTCCCGGAGCCCGGGGACAAACTTTACGATTTGCACTCCCCCCCCCCCCTCAAGATTTCGATTCTCAAACTTTCGATGTCCACCCCCCCTAAACCTTTCAATTTATTTTTCCAACCCATTTTGGCGCCCCCTAAGGTCGACGCCCGGGGACATATGTCCCCCCCCCCCCCTGCCCCCCCCCCCCCTCGCTACGCTACTGTTTGTTACATGCACTAAGATATTTTACAATATATATTATACGAACATATTATACGAACATATATTACACTTTTTTACAAAAACTAAGATGAATTACAATTACAATGTGTGTGTTGCATAAACTTAGATATTTTACAATTTATTTCATACACCAAAATATATTACAATGTGTTAAATACACTAAGATATGTCACAGTGTTTACCAACAACTTTATTATTACAACTTTACCAACAACTAACCCAAATCTGCAGCAAACAGCATACCTTCCCTGTCACTGATAATCCTAAATTTCTCTCGAACGCTGACTCACACATTGGGTGTTACCTTCCACCCCCTTCCCCCACCCCCCTCCCCCACCTCTACAGCTGGGAGGGCGATTGTATTTCATAAATCGTCCTCTTATTTTCACCCCAACAATAATATATCCACCCTACCCTGTACCCGCCGCGGCTCAATCGCCCCACCCACGCCCCTCCCGTCTGGCACCCCCCAATCAAAACATACCCGTGGGGTAGGTAAAACAAATCCCCCCCCCCCCTCGATCTACAGCTGTATCAATTCATCTAGCTCTGGCATCCGTCACTGTTATACAGGCGAAATGTGACGTGTCTAACCGTTTAACGGTTTATTACAGGCGCTCTCAAACTGGTAGAGGCAGAAGATTTAAGGAACGAGGACTTAAGACAAAAGGGACAGAAGCTGTAGAATTTAAAGTATCGGTAAACAAATGAGGGGAAACAAAAAAAAATAAATTCAAAACGTAGATATTTAAATACAGAGTTGCTAAGGTAAGTGAAGAAATGACTTTAAAGGAACGTTTTAAAATGCAATTGGATTTTAAGGAACACAGAACACACGTGTTTGGTGATAAAAGGATCTATGCAACCTGGACAAAAAGATAATTTATGGAGCTAACTATTTCAGGAAACGGGAGATTTTGGGGTCGGCGTGGTCGAGTCGGTAAAGCTCATGGCTGCTAAACCGGGCAGATGAGCTCGTTAGCTGGGGTCAGCCAATTTTCTAGGAGAGACAACTCCAAAATCAATCAACTGCTGCCTTGTAGTTTGTTCTTGGTGGTACAAAGGCTACGGAAGCAAATCCAAAAAGAAAAGCAGGCTGAAATCTAAGTCAATGGCCTCGATGGCACATAACCAGTTGACACGTACACTTCATTGTATTGGAGGGGATCCCTTCCAACATTAACATTAAGAACGAAGAAGAAGAAGGGAGACTGTGAAGGACCAATAACATCATGACATTAGATAAATTGAATGTTGCCCCGCCCCACCTTCCCACTTCTCTTTCCCTACACTTACAGTGTCATGTTTAGGAAAATAGTTCTTAAGCTTTCAAATCCATCGCTTTCAATGACTTAAATCCATGTATGTCGTCAATGTAATAAAAAAAATTTAAAGAAGGCCTAGACTGAAATTTTAAATATTTATGACAACTTAAACTACCTAGAGATACCTAAAGACTGAACTTTAGTCCATTTTATCTTGTTTCCAAACTCAACCCTTGTCGACTTGTGTAGACTCTCGTTAGTACGATAGTTATGTAAGTTCGTAGATTACCATTGTAAGTTAGAAACACTGAACACAAATGTTCACTATCTCGCAACGCACAAGCACTAGTGATGGACAATTATGAACATTAGAAATAAAAAGTTCATGTCTAGTGTGGAAGCGGTCATGAAGGGGTACAGACTTGAACAATTTGAGAACGGCTGATGCATTCATTCAGCGCGATTGGTTTCGCCGTTTATTCGCTTAAGTGCGCAACTTGATGCGCATGTGACATATGTTAAATCATTGCAGATGGGATGAGTATGTGGCGTTTTTCTGTAGGGCAAAATAGCGTGTGTCGGGGCCAGCACGTGATACGTGGGGAGGGAGGGGGGAGGGTATATAGGTAAAGTAAGGGGGTGGGGCGGGCCTACGTGTGGGATAAATTCATCATGATATTAAAAGAATTCGCATCTTTCTTTCACAAAGAAGTTTTTCACTAGAAATTTCACATTTTTAACCCAAGATATATTTAAATGTCATACTGCATTATGTGTAGTATCAGTGGTATAGGCAAAGGGGGAGGGGGAGTTTGAGGGGGTTATAACCCCTCCCATGTACCCCTATATATATATATATATATATTCGCATTTTTTTTTCACAAAGACGTTTTTCACTAGAACTTAAATTGCTTGTCACATTTTTAAGCCAAGAAATATTGAAATGTTAAACTGCATTATGTGAAGTATTATTCGCTAGATGGCCCTGGAATATTTTTTTTAATGTCCACCATACCTAAACTAAAAATATATTTTAACTCACATACAATAATCCCCTCATGTTTAAAGCAACTAGACGTCTGCTTACAATTTACATAAACTAGTTTATCCAAGCTAATGAAAACTGAATCTAAAAAAACAAATTGAAAATCTTGATATAGTATAACTTCAGTTATTGTGTACTTGGGGTTCATGATTAAACATCCACAAATCAACAATGACCCTAAAACCGAGACCTACGCTAACAGACCTAAGGAAGGCAAGCGAAAACCATATTGTTTCCAATGATGGAAAAATGTATTGGATTGTGTTTATGTGTTGTTGTTTTTTTTTTTTTTTTGGGGGGGGGGGGGGTGTGGTTCTAGTTTTCTCTTGTACATAAAGCTGTGGGTTTATTCCTTTGTTTGAGGCCAAAAAAATATATATAAGGAAATTACATTCCAAAAGATGATATATTTAGCTCACAATATCACTTACAAAAATAATAAATATTTATTATTCATGTGAGATTTGTCTACCTAGGAAAAAACGAGTTTATGTAGGAAAAGGTAAACCTTATTTATAAAGAAAGTAAGTTTCAAATGAAAATAATAATTGATGATTTTTTCATTAGAACATTGGCACTATTATCTGCGTTATTATTATTTTTTGGTAAGATTCTACGTAACATTAAAGTAAACACAAAAACATACCTTTTCTTTCTAATTGCTTGAAAAAAATATTCCATAAGTGTGTTGAATGTCTATTATAATGTTTAGCATTATCAATACATTTGTATTGTTATCATTATGCAAAAATATCGCTATGGTAACATGATACTTAGTGGCCTTACCTTTATGCCCAATACGTACACATCCCAGTTGAGTAATTAATATATTGTAAGTAAATTTGTTAGTAATAAAGTCGTCTTAGTATTGTATATTATGTGGGTAACAAAATCCAAAATCCGATTCATCTAATTCCCATAGAACCTCCACTACACATACCACATATAAAGTTTGAGTAGTAAGCAGACATTTTCTCAGCGCGTAAACAAAATCCTAAATCCAATCCATCTGAATCCTATAGAACCTCCATATCATACACATACCACAGATAAAGTTTGAGTGGTGAGCACACATTTTCTCAGCGCGTAAATCACAATTAATGACTCGTGCACGTGCAGCGTCGACACTACTCACCACAAGCACACACACACAAAGATGGCCCTCGTCAAGTTTATCACTAGTTTCCTGATAACTTTTTATTCAACGTCTGCTGTCTCAGGATTGTCTGATTAGCAAAGTACATTGTTCTCTTGATACATATCCTACAGTATATAACACCACTTACTATATATATATATATATATATATATATATATATATATATATATATATATATATATATATATATATATATATATATACTGGACACAAACATTGGTGGCGTAGTGGTATGGGTGCTTATGGATAGGGTCTTGAGGGGAAGAGGGGGATATAACGATGCTGCATCTTCTAAAGGTTATCATTTATTTTTTAAATTGTATTTTTACTTTATGGTTAGAGTTAACGACGTGTGCGAAACCCTCGGTTGCTCCGTCATTATGTGAGGCATGCTGTAAGACTGAAAAGCGACCCTACGTCTTTATGCGAAGCATTCTATAGGCTCAGAGACCGACCTTCCGTCGCAATACCGACCCTACGTTGTTATGTGAAGCACGCTGTAAGATTGAATATCGACACTATGTCGTTATGCGAAGCATTTGTCGTTATGTAGAGCACGCTGTAGGTTTGAATACAGCGTTGCGTCGTTATGTAAAGCGCAATGTAGGTTTGAATACCGACACTACGTCGTTATGTGAAGCACGTCATAAGCCTGAAGAGCGACCCTACCGTTGTTACAGACCACTTGAGACAGAGGCAAACAAAAGATGTAACCAAGTAGCAGCACAGACATGCGCAGTGCGTGTCTTTCCCGTCATACCCCGGAGGTGAACGCCATTCTTAGCACATGTGCACAGTGACACATTTTCCTGGGAGGGGGGGGGGGGGATTTTGAATTTAAAAATACAAGGAAAGGTCACTGTGCCTTTTACAAACTTACAGTTCTGAATGCAACTGGATTATCTTTCCATGATCATTGTGACTTTAAAAAAAATGGGATGTTTGAATTAAAGGTAGAAAGAGGAGTGGGAGGGGTGGAGTGGTTGGGGAGGGGTGGAGGTTTGAGAGGGGTGCAGATGTGGGTGGGGTGTCTTATTTCCTCAGGGTATAACCCAGGGAATGCAAGCCCCGTCCCCACGTGAATCTTGGGGGGATGGGGAACACGTGGTCTGGTACTGGTTTAGCCCTCGACTTCCGGAACCTTTTAGGTGACTGTCTGGGTAAGGCTTGAGATCAATGGTAGATTTGTGTTGAAGCCAGAATAGTATCCAAATCATATTTTTCTATGTAATATTGCAACCATAACACAAACAGAAACTATAAATATAATCCAATCCCTAATCTAAACATCTATCAAAATATTGAACATTACTCCAACAATATCAACACCATGAAAATAGATACAGTTGTGTTTTTAACTTTTTTATTAAATCATATCCATGTTTAGGGGTCGGCAAAGCTCATGGTTGCTAAACCGAAAAGTCTCGAGTTCGATTCCTTCCAACACTAAAAATTAAGAACGAAGAAGAAGAAGATGTCTATGTTTCTAACACTATCATTTCATATTGTGGGTAAATCAGTTGATTTTATTATGTTACGCCAGTGAAAAAGTAGGATTGGAAAACTTATTATAGGAATACCAGAATGGGTCAAGCAGACCCAATTTACCAAAAGTGCTAACGCCATTGTTCACAAACATAATTGACAACTACGAGCTTTTTCCTAACTTGAAAAAGTAGCGCACATAATTAAGATAAACAACAGAACAAATACAGTCGAAAGAAACTTAACGCGCAGACAGCTGATAAAAGAAACACACAGTCGCGCTTAAAAAAAACCCAGACTTTTTGATAACAGAGGCAGAATCTAGGTCACGGTCATAATTATGCCGGGTCACGAAGAAAAGTTTTAATACGCCGCGAGAACAAAATAGTTCCACGCGAATTCTGGGGGTAGTGATACCTCCCCTCTGGCAAGAAATAAACAAACCCGCATACAGTGAAGTTGGTAATAAAATACAGAAATGGAAAAGACCGCGCCGAATAATTAAAGCTGTGTAGGATTCACCGTAACGACAAGAAAAAGCGTGCTGAAATGTAGATGGTGCCGTAGAAAGGAATTGTAAATTATCCCCCGCTTTCTATTTTTAAAGTTCACAAAGGATTCGGACAAAGAGGTGCCGGGGTGTTTACCTATTGTCAGCGCCCCCCCCCCCTCCCCCCAAGTAGCCAGGTGCACTTTTCACTCCATGTGCCGGCGTGGAGTTGTGTTTTTTTATGATCTGTCTTGTTGAGATTGTGTTTGGTTACCAAGGCGTGTCCCTTGCACTGAGTGCCTTCCCCTTGTGTTGGAAAAGTGTGCGGGATATCAAAACTATCTTGGCTAAGTTTGGTATAGTAGATATAAAAAAAAAAGTCTTGGCATTTTTTCAGTATTTTCATGGAACGTTGGAAACAGAGAAACAAGGGCATAGGATATGGGATAATATGTATCCACGTCGCTATACATATGGGATAATATGTATCCATGTGGCTCTACAGCCCAATGATGTACTTGGTCCTACTTTACCGCCTGGTTATATTCAGACTTGTCTGTTGTCTTCTTCTTTCTCAGTGTCTAAACTGCTGTAGGTTTGTCTCAATACCAACTCTCCATCTGAGCCGAATCTTTTGGGCTTTCCCGTTTGGGTATTTGAATTACGCCATTTTCTCATCTTTTTCCCATTGGAGTTTTTTTGTTATGCACCATTGTCTCTTACTTTTCCCTCTAGGTTGTTCTTTGGTTTTTGTTGTAAGTCACTTTATTTTTTCCTTTGGGTTTTTGGTTAAACGTCATCTTTTTTTTTTTTCATTCTTTGCAGATGATTTAATCATTACTCTTTCTCTATTGTTTTTTCCGCCACTGATGTAAGGTTTTATTGTGGATTAACTACTGCGTGTGAAGATATCAATTGCAAATTTTATTTCGTTTGTTGTTTATCTTAGCCTCTCAGTAACCCCCCCCCCCTCCCCCGCCCATTTACAATTTGGGGAAATGAAAGAAAAGTATTTTCTTTCTCTTCCACTATATGGCGCTAGGCGATCTTTTACAAGTGTGATCGCTGTTGATCAATTAGTGTTGCGATAGTTTATGTTGTAATAAGATCAAGACTAAGACGACGTTAGCTATGGGAAAGAGAGTGGTAAAGAACAAGAATATTAACAAAAAAGTCGGAAGTTCCGTTATCAGGTTTAATTCCGTAAGGTGTTGTTGAGTCAACCCAGCTTTAATGGGTACCTGACCTTGTGCAAAGAAAATAAGTTAATACGGACCACATACAGTTACGGTTGAACAAACAGACTAGCTCTACTTCTTCTGTAATATGGTTCTTCAGAAAGGATACGGTTTTTGGTGTAAGAGTTAAAGAATAAAACAATACACCAACCGACAGCCGGTTTGTAGTTTAAAGCGTAGTTTTATGTACACGTGTACATGATTGAGTACTGATGGCTTTTACAGCATATCCTATTTCAAAGAGGGAAGCCATACTGGAAACATGTTTTATTTCATCACAATCCACATCAAGCGTAGACCATTAGATAAACAAGTAGCGAGCTTTGTACGAGGGTGAAAGAAAATGTGGTGATCGTTTTAAAGTGAAGGTGCAGAACTTATCACGTTGTGAAGATGGAAGTAGTTACAAAGATGTTACCAGTTAATCAGAAGGGGGAATGTGGGGAATACGTAAACATACAGCATAGTAAAACAACTTGGCATTTAAATTACTGGAAAGAATAAATTATGTATGTTTATAGTAGCTAAGGGAAACAATTCATTATGTATGGCAAGGGGAGGTAAGGGTGGGGGGGGGGGGGAAACAATGATGGGTGGGTGGGGTGGGGATGTGGGGTTAAAGTTAGGTTAAAGTTAGGTTTTAAAGTTTCTGTCAAGGAACCCACACCCGAGCCGTACAGTGTTTGTTTCTTCCAGACTTTTTTCTCCGGGGTGGGGGGGGGGACAAGGACACTTTAAATTTTCGGGTGGGGGGGGGGGGGGGGGACACTGGTAAAAGTGTATATTTTCTATATAAATTCTATTTAAGGGATGCCTGTAAGAAACTCTGGAGCCGTAACGACACATCTTATTAACGCGAGAGCTCTCATATTGCTATATCTTCCACACACACCACATATGTAGCCCTGCCACACACCACATGTAACCCTGCCACACACCACATGTACCCCTGCCACACACCACATGTACCCCTGCCACACACCACATGTAACCCTGCCACACACCACATGTACCCCTGCCACACACCACATGTACCCCTGCCACACACCACATGTACCCCTGCCACACACCACATGTAACCCTGCCACACACCACATGTACCCCTGCCACACACCACATGTAACCCTGCCACACACCACATGTACCCCTGCCACACACCACATGTAACCCTGCCACACACCACATGTACCCCTGCCACACACCACATGTAACCTTGCCACACACCACATGTAACCCTGCCACACACCACATGTAACCCTGCCACACACCACATGTACCCCTGCCACACACCACATGTACCCCTGCCACACACCACATGTAACCCTGCCACACACCACATATGTAACCCTGCCACACACCACATGTAACCCTGCCACACACCACATGTACCCCTGCCACACACCACATGTACCCCTGCCACACACCACATGTAACCCTGCCACACACCACATATGTAACCCTGCCACACACCACATATGTAACCCTGCCACACACCACTTCTGTAACCCTGCCACACACCACATATGTAACCCTGCCACACACCACATATGTAACCCTGCCACACACCACTTCTGTAACCCTGCCACACACCACATATGTAACCCTGCCACACACCACATATGTAACCCTGCCACACACCACTTCTGTAACCCTGCCACACACCACATATGTAACCCAGCCACACACACC